GATGGGCGCGCGACAGCGTGCAAGTGCGGGACAAGCGCGGACGACCCAATCCGCGCGGGCGTAGGAATGCTGGGCGATGGCGAGTACGCGCGCGAGGTGGTCGGCATAAGCGAAGCGCGCGCGACAGCGTGCGCGTGTGAGAAGCGCGCGCGATGCCTAGTCGCCGAAGGTTTAGGCGAGAGGGACGCTGGCGCGCACGCGCAAGGGGTAGTCGGCGGGCATGCAGCGCAAGTCAGCGGGGCGCGTGCTGGGCAGGCGAGCGATGACCCAGCCCGTGCGGGAGTAGGACTGGCGGAGGCGGCTTCGCGCGCGCGACTAGGATTAGGAAACCCCGAAGGGTGGCCCGCACGCATAAGGCATGAAGTAGGGCGGCCGAATTACATGGGAGCAAGGATTTGGATTGTTTGGAGTGCAAGCCAAGCAATATCAAGATCTAGTCAATTTAGGACTCTAGTATATTTAGTTTCCTTCTTGCACAATAGTATCTAGAATGTTTAGGAAGTTAATATTATATTGCTTTAATATGTTTCCTAGGTAGATTAGAATTAGTCACAGTTAGGATCTATAAATAGGGATGTTCCCTCATTGTTTTTAGATGTCCAAGAATGATGAAATAGAAAAGAACGTTTGTTCGAAACCGTGTGTTAGAGTCGTGAGATTCGATCATGCAATCGAATTGGTGAGGCTAAGACCCAAGCCAGTTCAACGATTTAGAGAGGCTAAGACCCGATCTATTTCGAGAGTGTAGCGAGGCTAATAACCGAGTGAACTCGTTAGGCTAATAACCGAGTCGATCACACCTATCGTCGAGAGCAAGGCCGTGGCGAAGCCGTGATCGAGACAAGTCGAGGGAACGTAACACCCGATCCGTCATCAATGCGCTTGCACGCGAGCCGCTGCACGTAGCCACTCGCGTAGCAGCCAGCAGTCAGTAGTGCGTGCAAGTTGTGTTGACGCACACCAGCACGCCCGATAGCGTGCCATATGTGCTTAGCAGATCTCGGTGTTGCCCGGTAGCACGCCGAAC